GAGGCGGGGGGGATGGAGGGAGGGGGGCTCGCAGCTGAGCTCCCCTCTCCTCTCCCACACCAGGTGCTGGCATTTACCTGCAGCGGTGCCCTGCCTGGTGGGACAGAGGGGGGGCAGGCAACCCAGGCAGTAGGGACAGTATATGGAGCCCTCCCCACTCCCTCCTGCCAGGACTAGTGCACTTCAGGGGCAGCCCCACGCCCGCCCCCACACATGGACACACTTCCTGAGCCAGCATGGGAACCCAGGAGTCCTGGCTCCGGACATGTGCAGCTGTGCCAAGGTTGCACGCAGGTGGACAGCAGTAGGGGCCAGGGCTCATGGCAGGTGATGCCCAGCCTTGGGGGAGGGCAGAGTCCCTCAGTGGAGGGGCAGGAGGGAGGGGAGGCCATTCTCACAGGCGGGGCACCATAGTCCAGATACCTGTGTTTTGGGTAGCTGACAGGAGTGCACAGGGCATAGCTACAGGTCCAGGGCAAGGTCCGGTGGAAGCAGTGGGGGGCTAGGGCTGGGGCACTGGGGGAGTGTAAGCCAAACCCTGTTGCTCCTCCTTATGGTAACTTCCAGATGGACAAATGGTTGACAGGAGCAAGGGACGGACAGGGGGAGGATGGGAGGATACACAGAGGAAAGGACTGCTGCTGGAGGAATGGGCGGAGAGAGAGGGAGGGACGGATGTACGGATGGATGGAGAGGTGTTTGTATGGAAAGATGGATGAATGAGAGATGGCTATGTGTAGGGAAGGATAAATGACTGCAAGGAAGGAGAGAGAAAATGGATGGAAGCAGTTGGATGAATGGGTGAACAGGCTGAGGCCCAGACAGGAAGCTTGGATGAGAGGTGGCTGGAAGGATAGACTGATGAAAGGGGAAATATGGAGACGGACAGAGTGATAGAGAGACACAGGTGAATGGTACACGGATGAATGGAGGGACAGCTAGGAAATGGAGGGATGGAAGTATGGCTAAATGGATGAATAGAGAAAAGATGACAGCAGGAGGCATGCATAGAGGAAAGAGGGAGGCATGAATAGCTGGGAAAATGGATGAAGTGAGAGAGAGAAAAGAAATGGAGGCATGGAGGGAAGGACTCGCTGAATAGCAGCAGAGATGGGGGGAGGGTCTGGCACAGACACACGGTGACCCAGATCAGGCCCCGCTCTGCCAGCAACTGCGCAGATGAGAGCGAAACACTCCCTACCCCAAGGAGCCCAGGGGAGCTAGACCGGGAAGAGCTTCTCCCCCAGTTTGCACATGGGAAAACTGAGGCACAGAAACCTGTGGCAGGGCAGGGGATTCAATCTGGGGGACCTGAGCCCCAGCACCATGCCTCATGCCCAGGACTGTGCTCCTCTCTTTGGGTTGTCATCAGGCCTGGCTCAGGACTCCCAAGGGGGCCCCACATGCAAAGCCAGGCACTGGAGGAGGGGAGGGAAAGAAGAGCCAAGCTGATCTTCCCCTGCAACGTGGTCCTGGAGGTGGTATCCTGTGCATGAGTCCTCCCCACCCTCCCCACCCCAGAGGCTGCATGCACAGGGAAGGGACGGCATGGGGTTGCAGAGAGGGGGACTCCATGCAGATTGCAGCCCTCCCATGCTGTGCTGGGGAGCCCAGGAGCCAGGCTCCAACCACCTGCAAAGAGCATCCCCTGTGGGGGGAGCCAGGGAACAGCCCCCACAGCCACCGAGGACCTGAACCAGGGCGGGGGGACGTGCCCTTGGGACCAAGGGTTTCTGGTTAGTGCCCATATGTCACAGGAGCCTGGCAGTTCGCAGGCCTGTCAAGCCATGGGGGGCTGGCCCCCAGCCATCCTAGAGGTGCGGGTGGCACTCCTGGCCGTGTGTCCTGACAGCTGTCAGTCCGGCAGGGATTCAGGACCCAAGCGGTTTGATGCATCCACCCACCGGGCATTGCCCCCTGCGGGTCAGAACCAGAACCCATGACCCCGGGACCTGCACTGCCCAGCACAGCCACAGGGTGACCCTTGGGCCCAGCCAGAGCCAGATGCTGCTGAGAACAGACACAGCTCAGCTCAGACACCAGGGGAAGGGAAAGGGAAGGGGGAAGGGGAAAAGGGGCCCCAATGACAGACACTCACCGGTGGAGCGCCGCACTGCAGGGGAGAGAAGAAGAGAGAAAGCCTTGTTACACCCATGGGCAGGGGACACAGTACATCCCACAAGGACCCTTCCTCCATGGCCAGCCTCCATCTCCTAAGCCAGTGACATCCCCAATCTCCTTCCCACTCCCCAGAGATGCTCCCCAAGCCCTTCAGTGACCTAACCCCACCCCCCTCATCCTTCAGACACCCCTTGGGCCTGTCTTCCCCCCCAGGAGAGCTCCCCAACCCTCCCCCATGACTCACACTCGCAGATAGGCTTGGGGGAGGTCCAGCGCCCTGCCTTGGTGCAGTTGCTGCGGGAGCTGCCCACCAGGCGGAAGCCAGAGTTGCAGTGATACTCCACCCAGGTGCCCTCCACTGGCACCCGCTCCATGGCCTGGGGCACCGCCCGCCCATTCTCCAGGCTCAGGTGAATCTTGGGGCACATCCTCACTGTGGGGGGAGAGGGCAGAGGGGATCATTAGCACTGGTCCTGGGTCCTGAATCCCAAGATCTCCCTGCCTGGGGCAAGAACTGAGCCAGCACCCACTAGAGGGGAAACAGCTCCAAACCAGCCAGCCCTGCTGCCCCAGGCTACATCAGACCTAGTGTCCTACTAGAGGGGGAAGACCCCCGGCCCTATCCCCTCCTGCTAGAGCCAGGATCCTTGTCGCCCCATGCTTGGGTTAGATTTGAGCTGGCACCTCCTAGAGAGGAAGAGACCATGTCTTTTGCACCCAAGTCTGTTCCAGTGCCCAGAGGGTGGGTGACTCACGGCAGCGGCTGGGGTGGCTCATGTCGGTCCAGGTCCCATTGCGGAGGCACTGGCGCACCTTGGGGCCCACGATCTCGCGGTCAGGCCGGCACACGTACTCAATCTCATAGTTGAAGGGCAGGAAGCGCACAGTCTGCACCTGGTCAGGGGTGAGACCCCGGTACCGGATCCCCCCATCCCGCGGTGGGTGGATGATCTCACAGCCTGGGGGCAAAAACAGGCACACTCAGGAGGGGGGCAGCCCTTGGGCTGGGGCCAGGGGGCAGATGGTGGGAGTAAGGGGGAAGGCTGATTGTGCTCCAGGCCAGCAGGTGAGCCAGTGGCTGTACAGGTGTGTGTATGTACATCTGCCCGCGTCGCCTTTCTGCTCATGTTGTGTTCCTCATGCTCATGTACCTACCTTTGTTTTGTGTAACAGAGAAAGTGTGTGTGTGTGTGTGTGTGTGTGTGTGTAGCAAGTCCCAGAAAGATCCTTTGTATGCATGTTGTATCCCCTAGGCTTCTCCCTGGGTTGTATTCCTCATGGTTGTGTGTTGTATTTCCCAAAACTGTGTGCGTGCTCTATTCCCCGTGTTCATGTCTATGTGTTATATTCTCCGAGGTTGTTTGTGCATTTTATTCTCCATGGTTGTGTGTACTGTATTCCCCATCTTTGTGTCTCTGTGCTGTAACTCCCTATAAGTGTACATGTTTTTTACTGTGTGTGTGTGTGGGTTATTCCCCATGTTAGTGTTGTATTTTCCACCTTCTGTCTGCAGTTCTTTTTGGAGACAAAACCTGTGCATGTGTGTGCACTTGTGTGAGGGAAAGCTGGACAGCCTGAATGAAAGAATCTCTCCTCTGTGTGTACTGAACTCCTTTTGTGTGCATGTGTACATGCAGAGAGTATCCATGAGTGCCTGCATGTGCATGGGTACGGGGGGCGGAGGTGTTGTACATGCATGTGTGTATCCAGGGGTGTTCACGGTTGTGGGCTCCTATGGGATTGTCCAAGCCCACCCCCCAGGGCTGAGCCAGGACACTGGGGGGCAGGATAAGCAGCTCTCCCCATGGCTGCAGAGTGCTACAGCGGGGAGCTGAGGGGTCCCTCGTACCTTCGGTGCTGTTGAGCCGCAGTGCCCCAGCCCCGGGTTCTGTACCTAGTGCCAAACTCAGCAGAAGCAGCAGCATCTGGAGGGGCAAGAAGATGAGGCAGTGAGAAGGGGCCTACCGGAGGGAGGGGTTTGGGCTGCCAGCCCCTCATAGCACCCCAGGCACTCTCTGACACAAGGCTACCCCAGGACAAGTGGCCCAAATTTCCTCCTCCTGCTCCTCCCAGAACCCCTGGCCTCCCACCCACAAGCCCCCTTTCCAGCGCCAGGACAGACCCCCAGCACCCCCCTGGCAGCCTGAGCTCTGTAACCTGTGCACCAGTCAGCACTGAATGTACACAAGCTTTTAATAATAAATCATCACCCTTCTCCCTGTGGGACTTGGCATTTTGTCCCCATGACCTGTCTGCAGGCTGGGGCCCATCTTGCCTGACTCCCCTCAGGCTGATTAGCAGGAGTTTAGCCTGGCTCCAAAGAGCTCATAAATGATTAAGAGCGCTCTAAATCAGAGGCAGGAAGGGATTTGTTTTCATCCCTTCAGCACCCCTGTCTGCTAAGAATAATCAGTAGTTCACAGTATTGCAAATCAGCAGCCTTCACTCTTTTGATGGGTTTATTTCTGCAGTCGTACGGTGCCCCCTGCCTGCCAGCGACTGCACTGGCAGCCCCGTTTGTGGGGGAAAGTCCATTTTGACCTTTTTTTTTTTTTTTTTTTTGCTCCCTGTCGACATGAAAAACATATCTTTCTGCAGAGTGACACTGGCAAAAAATATATATTCTTTGGGGCCAGGCAGAAAGTCCGGCTGCAGGTCAATGACAGCTTTGTGCTCCGACTTCCGCCTGTCACAGAACAATTCATAATGCAGCGTAAAGAGGAACAAGGCTGCGAGCAGAAAGTTGCCTTGACATGAAAAATTGATTTGGAACATGATCCAAACACTTCTTCTCCAGGGTTTTTCTTTTAACCCCTAATAAGGTCCCATCCAAATGGGAAACCTCTCCTGGGAAGATGCTTGTTCAGAACAGCATTTCACTCATGTCGTGTTGCAAAGTTTGGACCTACTCGTGGCTTCATCCTATTAGTCATGAAGAGTACGAGCCAGGAGAGCCCTCTCTTACTGTCACTGTTAGCAGCAGTGGTAATTTGGGGCGCTTTGGCCAGGCTGGCAGGAGGGGGCATTTCCCACCTCACCATCTGACTTATTTTACCCAAGGGTAAACCCCAGCCCCAGCCTGCTGGTCACTAAAGGAACCAAAAGGGCCTTTGGAAGTGGGCACTGCTTGGCCAGGGAAGCCCCTGGCACCCACACATCTCCTCCTCCAGGGCAGCACTGCACAGCACTGCAGCCATCCTCCCTGTGTGGTGCCAGAGGACACCCCACACCACTGGGGCAGAACTGTCAGGCAGCCAGAATGACAGGGGGCATCCACCTGGGGTCTATCCCTGGCTCCAAGAAAAGATTTGGGTCTGGTGGGTTAGAAGTGATTGGATGAAGCAGGACTCTTTGGTTCTGTAGGAGTCTGGGACTGGAAGAGACCTCCTAGGTCTCTGACCCCAGATCCCTGCTGGGAGTCAGGGAGCTCTACTAACTGCCATAGACACACACACCAGAGAAGCAGGGGCAGGAAAAGATGTGACAACCCCACTCCTACTTGCGACACTTGCAGACCAACAGCATCCAGACACAAGGGCAGCAGGGACAGACTTGTGCACCCAGAGGAGAGCTCATTCCTTGCAGCAGCTGGAGGAAGGCAACTAAGACACACACACACACACACACACAGGTATGTGCAAGCATGTGCATGCACACGCATGTGCACACACAAAAGCAGGCCACCACTTGCCTTGCCTACCAGAAAGAAGGGACACACAGAAAGACATGAGGGCTACTGTATTTATTTGACTCCAAGGTGAGATTTCTTTCCCCAGTTAGCATGGGGAGTGGGGGGCTTGTCTTGGATTCAAGTATGGTCTGGGGGAAACAGTAGCTCAGCTCTGGCTTTGGCTCCGAGTTCAGGGCTGAAGCCGGAGCTGAGCTGCCACCTGCCATGCCCCATATTGCGGGGGAGATGGCATGAAGCCAAAGACAGTGCAGGGGAGACCATGAGGGGCTGTGGGGGGGAACTGCAGCCTTTTCCCTGGCATCCCCCACCCCTTGCTCCACTCTTCCCAGCTGCTCCACTTCCTTACCTCCACTCTGGTCCCTCCAGCCCCAACCCAGCCCAGCCTGGAGCTGCACCCCCTTCTCCCTGTTTGGACTGGGCTGAGGCCTGGCCAGGGCTATGCTGCTGCTGATAACCTGGAGATAGAGCAGAGCTGTGGGG